ACGCCATTTTCAGTGTATTACTCTTTACAGCTAGAAAATATTATATCATTTATACATGTCACAGATATTAATTTACAGGAGTGAAAGTAGAATTTTTATTACAAGTTAAAATTAGAACTATAATGTATTTGTTTGCTGAGATCTAGTTTTATCAATTTGCTTAATATAAAGCATAAACAAATGATTTGAGCAATAAAGATAACAAAAGTTTGACAAAACATGTGTCCACATATCAAATCGTGGTATGTATGAAATGTTCAACTGCTATTTTGCTACTAATAAATTATTGAGACTACATTGACATAGCGTGATTGACATTGATACCAAACATTATTATAGCAATTCCAGTCATAATGTTTCCTGCAGGATGTTTCCTTACTTTATAAAGGTGTTGCAGATGATTTTTTCAATTCTTAGATCCATTGCATTTCTTGTTTACTAGTTCAAAAATATTATAGGGATCACTTCTTCCCTTGTTTATTCCTCAAGCTCATCTATTTTCCATAAATACAGTTCAGTTTCATTTCATAACTGACAAAAACTTGCGACGATGAGTTAATTGTTTAATAAAAGTATAGCGCCGAGGTAGGAGTAAACAAGCCACATATCGCGATAAAATTTCTATATTTGACCGATCTCTCTTAATTGCCTCGACTCCGTAGGGAAAGGCAGCCTTCTCAACAAATTGAGTGATTCGGCAAGGATTGCATATACATTAAAGGAAAGAATTGTCAACGAGAAATGAATTCGAACTTCGAAGTAGCTATTAATTAAGCAACCATTCATTTGCTCTGTTTAGGAACAAAATTTGTTAATTTTCTACGCTTTTGGGCGCTTGCATATTCTTTAGGAGACTTTTGAATATATATATATATATACTGTGTATGACGATAATGTATGATTAAAATAATTCCAGACTTTTCTTTTAACTCCATCAGTAATTAAACAACAACGCTAAAATATGTGTTAATGTCTGTGTCTGCTTACAATTTTCTTTCTTTGACAGGTTGCATAAATTGCATAAAGTTGTAATAGTTTCCTTGTCCTCAAAATAGACAGTCAACAGCAACTGACTTTAACAACTTTTTCTTATAATTCCTAAGATACTCGACAGAGATTGGCGACAACAGTTCGTTAAAACTTATTATTGTCTGAATTCATTACAATGCCCTTACTAACCGAGTGTGAGGTCTTTACGGAGAAGTTTCGGACTGAATTTATTTGTACTGACCGAGACCCTTTGGGCAAAGTTTGTGCTAAAAACAGAGGTCCGAGATTTTTCAATAAAGACCGAGCAGGCGAGGTTAATAAAAAGTCCATTAGCTATATGGTATTATTTGACCTGAAACGAAGCTTTCTTTTCTTTTTCCATTCTTGCTGTTTTGCAAGGCCTGGCTTTCACTCCTGTAGTTTTTGCCAGCAGAAAATATATAGTTTGAAATTGTGTCGTCTAGATAATAAAACCCACTTTTCGAGTGTTCTTTTTTGACGTACATTCATACCATGGTTTTTTGTTTTGTTTTTATTTTCGTTTTACAAAACATTTGCTGTTTGCTCCATGAGGTTTTGGTAAAACACAAGACAATAGACACTCCGTATATAGTAAACAATATTTAATCTAGATAAATAATGTTTACTATATACAGAGTGTCTATTGTCTTGTGTTTTACCAAAATACTCTATGGCAGTCGTATTTCATGAAATTTGTTTATCTACATTTATTTGTAAAGTTACGCCTGATGAAAGCTGGTTCATTACGTAAAAATATATACTTCCCCATCAATATTTCCAATTGTAAGGTCATTTTATTACTTGAAAATGTCAGTCGTGTAAAACAATGCGTAATATATGTTTATGAGATTTTGGAGCTAATGGACAAAACGAAATGAAATATATAGTTTTAAAAAGCTACTATCTGATACTTTTCAATTTATTGGTGTTATTTCTTTCGAGCGCTAGCTGTAAATTCGTTTTTTACTTGTTGTCAAACTAGAAATACACAGCTTGTGTGGATAACGCTTTTTAAAATATTGTTTGTAGAAACTACAAGTGGTGATAATGCTAATGCTAAAGATGTCGGAAATTCCCCTGGTGTTGAAAATACAAAACAAGGCATGCTTTTTTAATTCTATTCTATTTTATGTATATTGCATAACCTAAGCATATTTGTTTTGAATTGTATCACAATTCAAGTCATTTGATTGGTATTATGTGTTTTTATCAAGATTTATATTATTTAATAATGTGCATGATATACGTATACAGTATTGCACTTTCGGACTCCAAACGTTTGTTTATTACGTATGTTCAATACTGTATTAATGACTTAAATTTTTCTCTTTTTTGCGAACGACAAATAATTTAAATGTACTGTGTACCAGACGGCAGTGCTCAGCACAACTTGACAAGTCTTTGTTTATCTCAATAAATACTGCGTAGCAGGAAAGTGGCGCCACTCTTTTTATAATATGCTCAAAATGAGTACATTTTATAAGTTCCATTGAAGAGAAAGGATTATAATAAATAGCCTAAAACTAGATTAGACCCTGCATTTTAGAAGTTTTCAGGTTAGACTATCTGTTTTAATAGTGCTCGTGTTTGATTACATTAATTACTATTTTCTTTGTTAGAGTACAGGAGATTAGTCGGAGTATAACTTTTTTCCAGATAATTATGTTTTTTTCTCCTGGCTTACAGCATCGAAAGTTTTGAAACAATTAAAAAAAACATAACCAAGTCCAACTTCTAATATTAATTTACTTCAAATACAGTCTTCGATCAACCTTTACATTAACAAATGTTATGCGATACATGAGGTTTTTTTTTCATCACATAAATTAGGAACAATGAGTGGTAATGTTTACAGCTGGCTTAATCTGTTTTAAGCATGCCAGTAAAATCTTGTCACTTCACAATTTGTACTTGAAGCACATTATCAGTCAATTAAAATTAAGATGCGACATGGGGTGATATGCAATCTGTTTTTTTAATATAACGTTTATTTGTTATCTGCTTGTTTAATCATAAAAACTTCTCAACAAACTATCTTTTGGATAAACTGTCATACTTCATGTTTGCACCACCATGCATACATTACCTAGCTAATGACATTGAAAATTATGCAAAGAACGGCCACCATCCAATGGACATGCTCGATATACTTCAGTAAATAAGAATTCCTGTTCATTGTTATTAAAATACCTCAGGCCTGCGCTATACGGACGAATTTAATTCACACGAATTGAAATATCGCAATTTTATTCGACAATACTGCGACGTATAACTTGGAAACTTACATCTCATAAATTAAAGTCGACAAAGTGAATTAGATTCGTCAGAGATTGACGCATTATGCGACACAACTGCGTGTTAGAAATAGACGATGAACTACAGTCGCATTGAATTAAATTCATTAATTATATAAAAATATTTCAACCAATCATAGACAGCGTTCTATTGCATGGCGGCAATTCAGCAAAAATAGTCATGAAACAATATGGCGGATGCAGATTGTTTTGTTTGTGATGAGCCAACAAAATATCGTTGTATAACTTGTAACCTTCCCATTTGTAATGTATGCTGCGTGGCAGAATTAGATGAAGATACATTTGGATGGTTGGCTCAAGTGAGCGTGGATTATTGTAATAAGTGTGCGATCGACAAGCGGGTAAATAAGCCAAAGCATGTTGATCAAGTGAGCTGTACCATAAGTAGATTAAAAAAGAAACAAATCAATTCAGGCCAGGAAAATGCTCGTACAAATCTCGATGAGATAGAAAGCAGCTCAGATAGTTCTGACAGTTCTTGCAAAACCAAGCAAAAGGTTAAAACGCAAAGACATGGAAGAAAGGCAGCTTGGAAAGATTGTCATGTTGATGATCTTGTTGATGTAATCGTCAATGACGAAAACTTCAAGAAAAATTTAATTTTTACTAACATTAAAAAGAAAAAAAACACTGAGGTTTACCAACGTGTTTTGGAAGTTCTGCAAAAAAGATATTCAGAAAAAGATCCAGCTTTCATCTTGCCATTCGATGTCAAACAAATCAGAATAAAATTCAAGTGGTGTGTTGCCATTTGTAAGAAGATGTGCCTTACAATACGAACCGCCACCGGCATTAAACGGATCCAGGATGAAAAGGGTTACAGTAAGTGGTTTACTTTGTTTTACCCCCTGATAAAGTCTCGTGACTCTTGCCAGCCTGAGCAAGCGATTGAACCCGATGCTGTTATAGACATAGAAAATGATTTTGGAGATGATGTTGACAGTGGACCATCAAGTGGGTCAAGCTTTTCTGTGGCAAAAAAAAAAACACATATAAGAAAAAAAGAAACTCTGAGTTATTGACTGATGCAATATTAGAGTCAGCTAAAGTTTTAAAAACTGCTGTGGAAAATGATCCCACTAAGGACATAATGAATATCATTAAAGAGGAAATGCAGCAATCAGAGAGCAAGAGAAAAAATTTATGGAACAAATGACAATTATTGTTCAACAAAATTTACATCCAGGATCATCTCAAACTTATTGTCAAACCCCAATATCTGCTTATGACTGTACAGTTGGACACTTTACAAATACCAATCGGGGCTTGGAATTGAATTCATTTGATCATCAATCAAATGCAAGTGCTAAACAACAAACATCTAGCAATGGGGACATGACATGGAACATGCTTAATAGCCCTCGTACGTATCACCATTTATAACACTGTTTTTGTATTTTAATTTCTTTACAAATACTTTATTTGAACACAAATTGAGAAACATTCTTTTATTTTTTTTTAAATATGACTGTTTTGTTAGTGTTTTTGTAAGAAGATATTCTTTTATGTTTAAGAGAAACGTGAGAATGAACAGAACATTACATTTTACTATGGCTGCATGAAGTGTATCTTACAAGTTCTTCAAGTCTAATAATTCACTAAAACATAGAATACTTCTGTTATGACCCTCACCTAAACATTCAGTTATCTCTAATAAAGTTCATAGTGCATAGAATTTCAATGAAAACCAAGTAAACATTCCAATTTAATGCCTTGAGCATTGGCATAACCTGGCTAGCCAGTTTGGTCATGCTAAAAAAATATCATCTGGCTCCCTCCATGTAAATGACTTCTACACAAATAAATATTACTAATGATCTATAATTTATATAGCACAACCTGGTTTTGCCACTGAGCAATGGTAATAAATTGCTATGTTTACGTGCTGCTTGTACCAGAGGTTTTTTCTTCCCATAAATATTCAGAAATTGATGAACGAATCTGTTCAGCTTTGTTGCATGTGTCCCTAGTCTTTTCACAAGCCCTCATTTTAAGAAAATCTCTTACTACAGCTCTATCTCTTTGCTGATGAGTAGCAGGATCCACTGAAATGTCAAGGTGAGAAGAGAGAACTTCCCCTCTTTCAATACAAATATTGTGAAAAACTACACATGCTAATGTAAATACTTTCACAGAATCTTTGCTACATTCACATTTCCTATAAAAAATCCGCCATCGACTTTTTAACTGTCCAAAGGCACACTCAGAGACCATTCGAGCTCTACTGAGTCGATAATTGAAATTGCGTTGCTTTTCCATCAAGACACCTCTTGAATAAGGCTTCATTAGGTAGGTTGAAAATGGAAATGCAGTCTCCAACAATTAAAGGAAATACATTGCAATTGCCAACTTTCTTAGCAATGTTTGGAACAATTTCTTGGTTTTCCATCTTCTTCCAAAATGATGTTGACTGTAAAATAACAGAATCGTGAGCGTTACCTGGAAACCCTGCACTTGCCCACACAAATCTGCTCTTAGCATCAACTAGTGCAATTAAAACAATCGAATAGAAGTTTTTGAAGTTGTGATATTCTTTTTGTGATTGTTGACCTCCTGGTGGGCAACTTATTGAAATATGGCACCCATCTACAGCACTCCAGCAGCAAGGGAATTGCCACAATTTCTCCATATCTAAAATTTTTTCCTTGAAATCATTTTCTGTTTTGGGAAAATGATTTGAGACTTGTTCCCAAAGCTCACAAACAATAGCATCACACACTTCTATAACTATTTTTCGTACTGTACTAACACCAAGTCCTGACATTTCCGCTATGGTGTAAGGGTAGTCACCTCTACCTAAACGATATAGGCAGATAGCTAAACGACATTCCGGTGAAACTGGCTCTTCTACAACAACTTTTTTCTGAAGTTTATGCCGAATCTTTTCGACAATAAAGTTAAAAGTACCTTTCGAAACTCTAAAAGTACCTTTGAATTGTTTATCCGAGTAATTTTCCCAAATGTTACTCCACCATCCAATGTTTCTCGGTAGGCGACGACAACTTCGAATCCTTGGCTTCAGAGTGGTTATTGTTTTAACACTTGCCGTCACATTCAGTAGTGACAGAGCAGCTATAATTCTCATATACCTTCGGTGAAGCAATAATAGTAGAACGTACCACTTAAAAAATCTTCTTTGTCGCTGTCTCAACCTACGTTTGTAAATTGTAAGCAAAGGGGAAATTTGTTTAACTGATGGAGGAGCCATCTTGTTTTTCCAAATCATGAGCTGTAGATAGGAGTCTGGGGACGAGCACGGAGTTAAGTGAATTAAATTCGACAAAAAAATTCGACATATAACTTTGCCTTGAGTTTTTGTCGCATTATTGTCGAAGTTAATAAAATTAAATTTGTGTGAATTAAATTCGTCCGTAAAGCGCAGGCCTCAAAATCATAAGGAAATGTGCCAATTTGACGATGTGAATTCTCAAAGTTTCACCATAATATAAAGGCTATTTACAATTTTCATTTAGACAAATGTAGCATTAAATTGCACATTTATGAAAAGATCTTAAAAATTATAAATTTACACAAAGTTACAAGTTTTTTTAACCTCTTTGCTAAGTATACTTGAGATTATACTAGTTAATCAGACCAGGCCACTTACGACTTAAGACACCCGATTGAGCAAGAATAACGCTGCTGCTGATATATAGCTGACACAACTCAATGGCTGTATCATGTTTTCTTAGATTTTGTAGCTAGCACTGACCACTAAATAGAGACCCGGAACTATAACGTTAAGTGGGGTGGTGGAGGGATGTTTAATAACGCTGTTGATGAAATATTGCTTACAGAACTTAATGGCTGTAACATGTTTCCTCAGATATTGCAGCACGGACCACTGTAAAGAGGACCGAAACTAGAACATTTGATGGGTGGCAGAGGGGGGTGTTTATATCTTCTATTGTGGTCTACTGATTTCTTGATAAAGCCACCGTAGTCTACATTAAACATAATACAAATATAGATAAACAAATAAATAGTCAGGCAGATGGATAGATAAAGTCAAAATGACTCTGAAGATGACTACCGCTAAGGTTGTCCAAACGTCAGTCAACGACAACAAAAACAGTCCTTCTCAGGACTATACCAACCTGGACGATCTACATTTAAAAACATTTAAAATACCTCAAAATCATATTGAAAATGAGCCAGCTTAACGATATGAATTCTCAAAGTTCCACAATAAAAACAAGGCGATTTGCCATTTTCATTTTGGCAAATGTTCCATTAAATTGCACATTTATTAAACGATCTTCTAAATTCTAAATTTACAGAAAAATACAAAGTTTTTTGAGCTCTATCCTTGCTAAGTATACTGAGAATTAAATTTTGAATACTTTTACTTAGAATTGCATTTTGAAAGTTGCATAGAGCATAAAAGTTGCGGCATCAGTTTTTTCTACTAGAAAATTTCCCAAAATAGATAAGCAAATAACTTTACTAAACGTAAAACATAAAAACAACGACTTTATTCATTGATTTCAATAAATTACTCCCACTGACCTCAAATAAATAAATATAATTATTTGAACTATATTAGAAGAGCAAGTGACTCCAAAAATCGCATTTATCATTTAAACTGCGTCTTAATTCGTGATTGATTAACAGAGTTAATGCCCTCCATTAAAAAGTGCACGTGAATCAGCTCCAGGCACTTTCGACTTAAGCCATCCGATTGAGCAAGAATAACGCTGCTGCTGAAATATCGCTTACAGAACTCTCAGATATATTTCAATGGCTGTATCATATCGCTTACAGACATGTTTTCTCAGATATGGTAGCACGGACCACTTTATAGAGGACTGAAACGATAACTTTTAGGGGGGTGGGGGGAGGGGTGCTTAATAACGCTGCTAATAAAATATCGTTTACAGAACTCAATGGCTGTATCATATTTTCTAATATGTTGTAGCACTGACTACTGTATAGAGGACTAAGATAAGAACGTTTAGTGTGGTGGGGAAGGGGGTGTTTTATAACACTGCTCCTTAAGAAAAATTTATGAAATTACTGTAGAGAGAAGTTTTTGTGATTGTTTGGTATAAGCTAACCTTGAATGTTACCAGTTAAAAAATTTATGATATGTCTAATAATTGTTAATACGTGTAGTGAAGTGTACGGTATCAGTATCCTTTCCTAATTGAGGAAGTTTAAGCTATTTTCATATATTTATTTTGTTTCTTTAACCCTTGAATGTAATATTTTTATCTAGAAGAGTGGAAATACATTGATGAATCAACGAAACATAGAGAATTGCTTTTAAAATTGATTGAATATGGACGCAATTCCAGTGTTGAGGTTAAAGTGGTGGGCAATGTACGTGTAATATTCTCAGAAGAATTTTGCATTGGCGAAGGAAGTGATGCAACCCGTGTTTTTCTTGGACTGAGTAAGGATGGTTACGGTAAAGCAGTGAAACGAATACATCGACATAAATTTATCCAGCTTGCACATCACGAAAAGAAAATTTTAAATGAATTCAATGCAAAGAAGTCGAAATATGTTGTGAATTATTTCTACTTAGAAGAAGATACTGGAACAGAATATGTTTATTTGATGTTAGACTTATGTGAAGAATCTTTGGATTGTTTTGTCAAGTATTCTACTTTGCATGATCTTAAAAAAGCTCTTCCTGATATTCTTAGACAAATTTTAAAAGGATTAGCTGATCTTCATAGCGGCCCAAATCCTATTCTACATCGGGATTTGAAGCCTTCCAATGTTCTACGAGACTCAAAAAGCAAATTTCTGATAGCTGACTTTGGCATAAGTCGAATAATGAAGAATGAATCTACAACATATGAAAGCAATACTTCCATGGGAACTGTGCATTGGATAGCTCCTGAATCCTATTGCGAAGATTCAGTAAATAAAGCGCGTTACAAAAGAAGGTCTGATGTATATGTAAGTGTAGGAATGTGAACATTTGTAAGTTGTAAAGAAACTCAATGTTCTAAAATTGCATTTTAATGTAACGCTTTTTATTAATTTAGAATGCAGGGATGGTAGCTTATTTTGTAACAACAAAAGGAAAACATCCTTTTGGACGTGAACGGTATAGACTGGACAACATGCTGAATGGAAACCCTGTTGGTTTAGATGAAATCGAGGATAGAACACTAAAGGACCTTCTGTCGTGGATGTTAAATCTAAAACCTGAAGACAGACCATATTCTAACGAAGCATTAAAACACCCATTTCTCATGTCAGATAATGAGAAGTTTGAAATGTTAAGTAAAGTTGGGAATCTTCAGCAGATTAAGACAAATGATCCCCAGTCAAGTGTCGTTGAAAAATTGAATAGTGAATCCGTATATTGGAAAAGTCAAATGGATTGGGATGTCTATGATTATTTTCGCACGTACGAGAAAAATGGAAAAATCAATAAGGTCCGTTATACATCTTCATGGCCAGAATGCTTAAGATTCATTCGAAATATTGATCAGCATTGGAACGATCGACAACGACCTCTACCACAACCAGAACCATTTTATAAGATTGGCGATTACAGGGCGTATTTTCTCCGAACATTTCCTAATCTCCCTGTTCGGGTACATGCTGCTGTCAGGTCAAACGAAGAATTGAAAAACAAACCAGAACTCAAGAACTTTTTTTATTTTAATGAAAGCGAACTACATCAATAAACAATTTAGATACAACAGAACCTGTTGTGGTAAAAAAGTAGCTATTAAGAAATCATTGATACTATAGAAATCTTATTTTATAGATATAAAGAAAAACAGTTTCCACGACGTATTTAGATGATATTTCACCACATTTCTGATGAATCTATAGCCTGTGGCATTCATTGATACAATGTAATATACCTAATTATTTAATTTTTACTGTAAATTGTTTTGGAAAAAGACTGCAAGCGAATATGACATTAAAAGTTAACTTTTACGTTTGGCTGCACTGATACATTTCACACTACATTTATCCAACATAAACTCGTATGGGTTTTTGGTTCCGCTACGTAGATGACACAATCACAGCACTACATGCAGACGAGATTGATGACTTTCACACTCTCATCAACAAACAGAACAGCCACATACTATCACGACAAACCATTTTTGATAGGATAAAAAATTGTATTTCTGAAATTATTATAATTACTAAAAGTTGGCCTAGATGTTTTTGGCTCTTGGGAGCTCCTTATCGTATAAAACTGACCACCAGAAGTTGTGCATAAATTCATAAGTAGAAACTTTTGTGTTTTACTATCTCACATTAATTACGTAGCTGATTAACATATAAAATTTTTATATTTTATGTGAATTACATAACATTTTAATGAGTTGGAAAGATTGACGGCATTTCGTCTAATAATTTGTATATGGACTCAATAACATTTTAATTAATTTTATAGAAAAATATTCGTACTTGTCATCATTTTGTGATATTTTGCTTATTTCATGAGCTGTAACCATGACAATTATTTCGTGCCTAAATCCAACAACTAAAATGCAAGTGCTATGTATTTAAGATTTCTTAAATGAATGTTGAATATACACCTAAATACACGTAAGGTTAATTACGGCGCTCTCTATCGCCTGTATTTTAAAACTCTCTCACACTCACATTCACTGAGTAAAGTTTCAAAATAATCTTATAACTGCTGGAAGACCTTGTATTTACTCCACAGATGAAAAAACGTGCAAAGTTATGTTGATTTTATCATCTCAGATCCCATATAATCTGGTAGGTATCCGAACATTAATGTCAAATAAAAGCATTCGGTAATAGTTGTGTGATAGTTTTTGTTGAAAGTTTTGTAAATCATTTATATAAATTTTGAGGTTTTGGGCTTTTTTATTTTATTGAATTAACTTCGCAAACAGCATACTATAACAACAAAAGAACATAAGTAACTTCTAAATGACAAAGAACAATGTTACAGCTTTCTCCAGTGACTGCAGCCTTTTAAACACAACGTTGCAAAGAGCATACTATAACAACAAAAGAACGTAAATAACTTCTAAATGTCAAAGGAAAATGTTACAGCTTTCTCCAGTGACTGCAGCCTTTTAAACACAACGTTGCAAACATTAAAAACAACACGATTTATATAATGTACAATAAGTGCGAAGGTTTTTCTTGAATTGACTAAGGCTAACATTTTTGCCTC